TATAGATGCTTTTGTACATATGGGCCCTTTTCCTTTTTATTTGATCTCTTTAGGATATTGCTTGGTCAAAGGTCACACACAGTTTTATAGCCCTTTGGCTATATTGCCTTCTCTTCTGCTGCTTTCACAGCTCAATTTGGGGCCTGCATTGTTTTCAGTGCTTTCAAAGTGGTGTGATCTGAAGAAAGGTCTGTTCACTGTCTTCCTAGTCTATACTCTGCCAGTCAGGTCTGTTGGCTTATGTATAGTTGAGTTTCAATATACTGCTTTTGGACTCAATCACTCTTAGCTTAATGGAAGATTCTACAGGTTCAGAGCAACTAAACTGCTTTTTCTAATATTGGTTGCCCTGGTTATTCCACTGCAGTACTATGTGCTGGCCTAAAAGTTGAAGCTGAGTGACAGCTAAAGTTTCTGAAATTTGTTCTGTGCTCAATACTTGGCTGAACCCCTCTCTGCTCTGGATCTGTGACCCAGAACTGCATAATGGGTGACAAAGCCACCAGATGACACCAATTCCTGCGCCCAGTTGAGGGGTCCCCTGGTTTCTCTTTCTGCACCTGTGCTTCTTGCCCTGTTGTTTAGTCTCAGCTCCCTTACTGCACCCTGGGTGCTGGAATGCTCCCTGTCATTGCCACCACTGCTGCAACATCCTCCTGGCCAGCCTCTCCCCCAGTGTCCACAGACCTCTCTGTGTAGCTTCCTCAACTGCCCTGGGCTAGAAAAATGACTCACTGTGACTTTGTCTTAGCTTTCTCATTCAGAGTTCTGTCTGGCACATTTTCTAAGTTGTTGGGGAGGAGGTATGCTTGGAAACTAAGGCAAAAGTGCTAACTCTCACCCTATTATCTTGGCTTTGTCCTCCACTCAATTATTGTACGACAAAAGTTCAACAAAAGGAAAATATGTTCAATGTAATAGGAAGACAGTTGAAACTTGACCCCAATATTCTTATTAAGTATAAAAATTACATCCTAGGTGAGCCTACACAAATACAACCTTGAACCCCCTACTCAATCTCCTCTGCACAGCTATACCCAAGTTTATGGTACTCTCTCTTGGTTCTCCTCTTACCTGTCTGACTGTTCCTCATTCTCTTTTGCTGGATTTTCATACATGTCAAACCCAATAACCAGGTGGGACTCCCAGGGCTCTGTCCTGGGTCTTTTTTTCTTCTCCCTCTATATTATTTCACTTGGTGATCTCATCAGGTCCCATGGATTCAATTATCATTTTTATGCATATGATTCTCAGATCTAGTTATCCAGTCCTAACTTCTCCCCTGACCTCCAGTCTTACATCTCCAATTGCTTTTTGGATATCTCCAAGTGGACGTTCCAGAGATATCTTGAACTCAACATGTACCAAACTGAACAAATTATGTATTTTCCCCAAACCCTCCATATTCTTAATTTTCCTATTACTGTGAAGGATACCATCATCCTCTCAGTCACCAAGGATCCCACCTAGGTGTAATCCTCTACTCCTTACTTTCTCTCACCGCCCCCCCCGTATCTAATCTGTTGATAAGTCTTATTGATTCTACCTTCCCAATGTATCTATATAACTTCTTCTCTCCTCTGACTCTACTGCCACCCTTTATCTCCTTTAAGTGCAGACCTTTATCACCTCACTCCTGGACTATTGCAGTGGTTTTCTGGTTGGTCTCTCTGCTTCAGATCTCTCCCACTCCAGTCCATTCTCCATTTATCTGCCAAAGTGATCTTTCTAAAGTGCAGATCTGACTGTGTCACTCTCCTATTCAATAAACTCCAGTGGATCACCTATTACCTCCAGGATCAAATATAAACTACTCTTTGATTTGTAAGTAACCATAATCTGTCCCCTTCCTACATCTCTGGTCTTCTTATACCTTACTCCTCTCCCCAAACTCTTTGATTCAGTGACACTAGCCTCCTTGCTATTCCTCCCACAAGATACTCCATTTCCTGACTCTATGCCTTTGGCTAGGCTGTCCATTCTCTCTCTCTCCTCGTCTCCACCTCCCATCTTCCTTAGTTTCCTTCAAGTCCAAGTAAAATCCCACCTTCTATAAAAGCTTTTCCCAGCCACTCTTCATGCTAGTGTCTTCCCTTTGAGATAATCTCCAACTTATCCTGCATATGTCTTGTATTATTATTTACATTTTGTAAATTTACACATACAATTGTATGTACAATTGTACATTTACAAGTACAATTATTTACATGATATTTCCCACATTAAATTGTAAACTCCTTACTATAAGCAAACCGGGAGAGCAAGGAATAGTTTACCTATCAGATCTATGGAGAACAGAAGAATTCATGACCAAACAGAAGATAAAGAACATTACAAAAAACAAAATGGTTAACTTTGATTACATTAAATTGAAAAGTTTTTGCGCAAAGCCAATGAAACTAAGATTAGAAGGAAGGTAGAAAATTGGAAAAGAATTTTTACAACCAGTCTCTCTGATAAGGGCCTCATTTCTAAAATATATACAGAATTAAGTCAAATTTATAAGAATACAAGTCATTCCCCAATTTATAAATGGTCAAAGGATATGAACAGGCAGTTCTCAGATGAAGAAATTAAAGCCATCTACAGTCATAATAAAAAATGCTCTAAATCACTATTGATTAGAGAAATGCAAATCAAAACAACTCTGAGGTACCATATCACACCTATCAGATTGGCCAAGATAACATAACAAGAAAATGATAAATTTTGGAGAAGATGTGGGAAAATTGGAACACTAATGCATTGTTGGTAGAGTTGTGAAATGATCCAACCATTTTGGAGAGCAATTTAGAACTATGCCGAAAGGGCTATCAAAATGTGCATACCCTTTGACCCAGCAATAGCACTTCTAGGGCTATATCCCAAAGAGATCATACAAATGGGAAAAGGACCCACATGTACAAAAATATTCATAGTATCTCTTTTTGTGGTGACAAAGAATTGGAAATTGACAGGATGCCCATCAATTGAGGAATGACTGAGCAAGTTGTGGTATAAGAATGTAATGGAATACTATTGTACTATAAGAAATGATGAGCAGACAGACTTCAGAAAAACCTGGAAAGACTTGTATGATCTGATGCTGAGTGAAGTGAGCAGGACCAAGAGAACGTTGTACACAATAACAGCCACGTTGTGCGATGACTAATATTGATAAATTTAACCATTCCCAGAAATACAAGGATCTAAGACATCTCCAAAGGCCTTGTGATGGAAAATGCTATCCACATCCAAAGAAAGAACTGTGGAATTAGAATGCAGATCGAAGCATACTATTTGCTATTTTTTTTTCTCTTCTGTTGAGTTTTGTTTCTTCTTTCTGGTGGTTCCTCCTATTGGTTCTAATTTTTACTTACAACATCACTAATCTGAAAATATGTTTAATGATTGTGTGCCAACTTGGGGGGATGGTGGGGAGAAAGGGGGAGAAAAATTTTAAATTCAAAAGCATATGGGAGTGATTGTTGATAAATCAAAATAAATTAATTAATAAAAAAAATTGTAAACTCCTTGAGAGAAGAGAATATACCAGGCACTTGGTATACAGTAAGTGCTTAATAAATGTTTGTTGATTTGTTGACTTCATGACTCTAAGCCCAAACTGATGCATCTTCACATCAGACCTAATCAGATGACAAATTAATTCAAAGTAAAGACATCTAATTGAAACCAAATGCATAGTAAATGTTAAGGGAAATTGAATTAAGTAATGAGCATATTCAACACCCATACCTAATTGGCTGCTACCCCCAATTGTTTCCCAGGAACACTAGTCAGATTCCAAATAATTGTTCTGTCTCCCTAATACAGGAAGAAAGCCATACAACAATTCATTCACAGAAAGGGTTTAGGCTAGCCTGCAAAGCAAACTCTATGGTGTTACTTTCTTTTCCATCTAGATGCAGTAGCAGTCCTGGGAGCACTATAACCTTGTGAAAACCTGAGAGGAAGGTGTTCACTGTATTTGTCTATTTCTCCTTTGATTGCAGTGCTTCACTCCCCATGTTACCTCAGTTTGATATCTGTGCCCTCACCATGGTCTAGAGGTGACTGCTATTTCTTTGTCTCTCTCGTCTACTGTAGGCTGTATCTGAGCTTTTCCCTATGCAACCCTGACAGGTCACCCCCGAGATTTGCCATTTCCCATTTTAAACTATGTGCACTGGAAATATGTCTACTCAATTCCTCAATTATAGGTCTCATGGAGTGATGTCATCATGGTATGGAGTCTATATATAGGCTCTGGGAGAAGGAGTTCAAAGAGATTTTTCTCTGAAGATTGAGGCTCTCTCAGCACTAAGCATTTTGGGAACATAGGGTTTATTCATAGTTGTTCTCTGCACACACCCCAACCTTGATTTATATATGAATTTAAAAACTTTTGCATGAGCAAAATAAATGCAACTAGAATTTGAAGAAAAACTATCAGATAGGGAGAAAATCTTTGTACCTTATACTTCTGATAAAGGATATCTAAGATATATAGATATATCTCCATCTATATAGGGGACAGTTAGGAGGCACACGGATAGATAGAGTGTCAGGCCTGGAGTCAGAAGGATTCATCCTTGTGAAAGCAAATCTGACTTCAGACACTTAATAGTTGTATCACCCCGGGCAAGTCACTTAACCCTGCTTGCCTCAGTTTCCTTATCTGCAAAATGATCTGGAGAAGGAAATGGCAAACCACTCCAGTATCTCTGCCAAGAAAACCCCAAATGGGGTCATGAAGAGTTGCCATGACTGAAAAATGACCAAACAACAACAATAAAGATATCTAGAATATTAGCACAAATATATGATTAAGACATTCTAGAATGGATAAATTGGTCTGAGTTGAGCCTGACTCAGTCCAGACCCTTGGTTTAGGTTTGATATCAGAAATAAGTGAGACACTCATACACCAATCAACAGTTAACAGAACAAGATTTACTTAGCCATAGCATGAGAAGAATATTCAACAAGAATAGAAATTGAGAATACCTGGAGTTGATTCAGCTGAGTAAAGCTCCCTTGTTGGTGCTATCCATCATGATTCACCAACCAAGCCTCCGAGCACCTTGGAAGTTCTCATGGTTGCTTTATACACAAGTGATGAGGGAGTAACATCAGTAATCTGATCCTTTAGTCCCCTGAGCCAAACTTGATTCAAAGAAGGTTACAGTACCTCTTAAGAGAAGTTAGCCTAACTTGCATGGGGTGGGACCCCAGGGGTGGGAGGATAGGGAGGTTAGGATATTGCTCCTACTGAATAAGTAGTCAAAAGACATGAAAATTTAGTTCTCAATAAGAAATTCAAACTATCAACAACTGTATGAAAAAATGCACAAAACATTAATAATAAGAACAATGCAAATTAACATAGCTCTCAGATTTTATCTCACACCCATCAAACTTGAAAAGTCAATAAAAGATTGAAATAGTTAAGACTGGTGATTTTGGAAGATAGTTATGCTGATACACTAATAGTAGAGCTGTGAATTAGTCTAACCATTCTGGAAAATAATTTTAATTTACGTAAGAAAAGTAATTAAATTGTTCCTATCTTTTAATTCAAAAATCCCATAATCAGGCATATACCTCAAGGAAGTAAAATATAGAAAGGTCCTTTACATGCCAAAATATTTATAGCAGTACTTTTTGTATGTAAGGTGTGTGTTGTTGCCCATGTAAGATGTGTATATCCACATGTGATTTATAAACATATAGACAAGCAGCTGTAGGGGAGATATTGATAGATATCTCTTGCCTATTCATCTCCAAAGTAGATTTTGATTCCTGCCTGGAAAGGAACAGGAAAAATGGCCACAACACTAACCACTGTATTCTTCTCTGAGAGGGTAGATGTTGTTTAGTTATGTCTGACTCTTTGTGACCCCATTTGGGGTTCTCTTGGCAAAGATACTGGAGTGGTTTTCCATTTCCTTCTCCAGCTCATTTTCCATATGAGGAACTGAGGCTAGCAAGGTTAAGTGACTTGCCCAGGGTCACACAACTAATAAGTGTCTGAGGCCAGATTTGAACTTAGGAAGATGAGTCTTCCTGACTTCAGGCTGGGCACTCTAACCACTGCACCACCTAGCTGCCCCAAGAGAGTGGGTACCAGACTAGAATTATATCTATCTCCCGCTACTAAATATTGTTGGTCCTGATATTTTAGGTTCAAAAACAAAAAAGAGGGTAACTTCCCTGGCCACTTTCTTAAAAGGGAGCATGTAGCCCTTATCTGACGTATAAAAGACCATCACAAATAGTGAAGAGTGTATAAACCCATTTCTCCAATCAATCAATCACCCAATCAATAAATAAACATGTATTAAGTGCTTATTATGTGCCAGTCACTGTGCTAAGTGCTGTGGATACAAAAAGAGGTAAAAAACAGCCCCTGCTCTGAATGAACTTACAATTTAATAGGGGAGACAACATGCAATCAAATCTATACGAAGCAAGTTATATACAGGATAAATAGTAAATAATTAACAGAAAGAAAGTACTAGAATTAAGAGGGTTTGGAGACATTCGGTAAAAGATAGGATTTTAGCTGGGACTTAAAGGAAGCAAGGGAGATTAGTAGCAGAGTGGAGGAAGGAGAGCATTCCAGGCATAAGGGACAGCCAGAGAAAATGCCCAGAGCTAAGAGATGGAGTGAAAAAAGCAAATAGAAAACAGAAATCAGAGAAGTTATATGGATTAGACTATATTAAAAATAGGCAGATTGAATGAACTTTCCCACAGGTAGTGAGATATCTCAACTCACCATAGCTCGTGAAAATTCTCCAGTCTCATCCAAGAGGAAATTCCTCAAAGTCTCTATGAAGGCAAAGAAAAAATCAGGAATCTGTTGAGGAGTTGGCTTCCTTTACATGCTTGACACTTCCAAGTCTTTTTTCTCTTTCCTTCCAGAAGTCAGCTCAAAATGACAGTCCAGAACTGTGCATGTCCTCTCTTAAAGTGAGAATAAAGAATATCTCTCCTCTCAAAGATCTAGCACCAGCTCTACCCCTCACATAGTCATACAAAGTGATGTCTTCATTCTCCCCACCAATTAGGAATCACTTTTTAAAAATCTATTTAAGATTTTTTTATTTAAAAAAAATTTCCCCAGTTACATGTAAAAACAATTTTAACATTCATTTTTAAAACTTTGAGTTCCCAATTCTCTCCCTTCCTCCTCCCCCCTACCCATTGAGAAGGCAAGCAGTTTGATATAGGTTATACATGTGTAGTCATGCAAAACAAATTCATAATAGTCATGTTGTGAAAGAAAATACAGACAAAAAAAACCTCAAGAAAAATAAAGTAAAAAAAAAAATACTTGAATCTGTATTCTGACACCATTGGTTCTTTCTCTGGGTATGGACAGCATTTTTCGTCATAAGTCCTTCAGAGTTGTCTTGGGTCATTGTATTGCTGAGAATAGCTAAGTCATTCACAGCTGATCATCTTACATATTGCTGTTACTTTGTACATAGTACATTTTACTTTGCATCAGCCCATGCAAGTCTTTCCAGGTGTTTCTGAGAGCAAAGGAATCACTTTCTACAAGCAGCATATAATACTGCTTGGTTGAGAGTCAGGTTACATGTGTTAGCAAAAACTAGAAACAAAGTAAATATACATCAGTTGATCAAATAACTAAAAAAAAAAGAGTTGGGAGATAATGTAATGGTAGATAAATGTAATGGATTATTTTTGTGTTTTAAGAAAAGATAAAAATGATGAATATAGAGAATCATTGAAAGACTGATGAACTGCTGTAAAGTGAAGTAAGCAGAACCAGGAAAGTAATATGCACAATGTCTATAACAACATATATAGAAATAAGAATAATAGTAAAATAACTGAAACTGAATTCTGTGAAATTATAATGACCAAACCTAACCCTAAAGAAGAAATATGAGAAAGTGCCTTCCTTTCTTTCTTTGAAGAAGTAGGGGATTATGAATGTGAAACGCAATAGATACATCAGGCTTTTTCAATGTGTTGCCTAGTCTCATCTAACTTTTTTTAAGGCAATTGAGATTAAGTGACTTGCCCAGGGTCACACAGCTAGTAAGTGTCTGAGGTCAGATTTGAACTCAGGTCCTCCTGACTCTAGGTCTGGTGCTCTATCCACTGTGCCATCCAACTGCCCCTATATAACTCTTTTTTTTTCTTTTTGTTATTTCTTGTTATAAAGGATGGTTCTCCAGGAAGAGGGACATACATTGGAAAATCTAATTGATATAAAAACAAAGGATGTCTATAAAAATTTATTATTAAAATATTGAAATAGTTGATATTGATGGGGCGGTAGAAAGACAGGCACAAACTCTGGTGGTGGCACAGATACTGGTGGTAGAGCTGTGAACTAGTCTAACTATTCTGAAAAACAATTTTAATTTATGTAAGAACAGTCATTAAACTGTTCATATCAGAGACCCCATTACTTGTCATGTATGACGAAAAGGTAAAAAATAGAAAGAAGTGTCTCTTTCATACCCAAATATTCATAATAGTACTTTTTGTGTTAGTAAAAACTAGAAACAAAGTAGATTACATCAAATGGGGAGTAATTGAACAAACTGTGGTACATGTACATAATGTAATTGTTATGCTACAAAAAATGTAATGCAAAAAATTCAGAGAAACTTGAAAAGATTTATACGAATTTAGTATACAGAAAGAACAATATATGCAATAGTTAAAATAACTAAAAACAACATGAAAGGTGGTTGAACTGAGATTCAATACATTGATCGATCTTATTTCTAGAGAATAAATGATGAAACGCACTTCTCTGTTGCCAGTAGAAAAATGGAGGACTAAGGGTATAGAATGTTGCATATGATCTCAAATACATTCTCCATTTATGTTGGTTTTACTTCACTCTTTTTCTTTGTTACACGGAAGTATTTTCTGTAAGGGGGTTTATCTTTGTTAGGGCAGCCAGGTGACACGGTGAATAGACCACCAGGCCTGGAGTCGAGAGGACCTGAATTCAAATCTGGACTTTGACACTCACTAGCTGTGTGACCCTAGACAAGTCACTTAATCCTGTTTGCCTCAGTTCTTCATCTGTAAAATGGCAGACCACTCCAATATCTTTGTGAAGAAAACCCCAAATGGGTTCTGGCAAAGAGTCGGACATGACTGAAAGGACTGAATAACAACAAACAACAACAACAACAACAACATATCTTTGTTACAAAAGGGTAGCTTCTTGAGGAAAGATTGTGTAGCAAAAACAAAAGGTGTGCCTATAGCTTTTTAAAAAATTATGGTCACCACATATACAAAAACGTTTATAGCAGCTCTTTTTGTGGTGGCAAATTGGGGAAATTGAGGGGATGCCCATCACTTGGGGAATGGCTGAACAAGCTGTGGTATATGAATGTGATGGAATACTATTGTGTTATAAGAAATGATGAGCAGGCAGACTTCAGAAAAACCTGGAAAGACTTACATGAACTGATGCAGAGTGAAGTGAGCAGAACCAGAACAGTGTACACAGTAATAGCAATATTGATGGTGATCAACTCTGAATGACTTAGCTATTCTCAGCAATACAATGATCTGAGACAATTCTGAAGGGCTGATGGAATCTGAATGTAGTTTGAAGCGTAACCTTTTCACTTTATTTTTATTGCTTTTATTTTTTTTGCAACATGGACAATGTGAAAATATGTTTTGCATGATTTCACATGTATAATTAATATCACATTTCTTCCCTCCACAATGGGTGAGAGGGAGACAACTCAGAACTCGAAAAAAAAGTTTAAATGTTAAAAATAAATAAATGATACATTTTTTTAAAAATTAGAAGAAAGAGGCACTTGAGATGAACCTTGAAAGAAGCCAGAGATTAAAAGAGATGGAGTGGAGGAATGGGGGGGTAGTCAGTGCAAAGACACAGAGACGTAGTGTTGTTTGCGAAAGCCAGTTTGACTGGACGTTAGAGCTCAGGAATGGAAGTAATGTTTAATAAAGTTGGAAAGGTAGGAACAGGCCACATTGTGATGGCTTTTAAAAGGTAATTAGAGAGCACTTCTAGGACTATATCCCAAAGAGATCATACAAACGGGAAAAGGACCCACATGTACAAGAATATTTATAGCAGCTCTTTTTGTGATGGCAAAGAATTGGAAATTGAGGGAATGCCCATCAATTGAGGAATGACTGAGCAAGTTGTGGTATAAGAATGTAATGGAATACTATTGTACTATAAGAAATGATGAGCAGACAGACTTCAGAAAAACCTGGAAAGACTTGTATGATCTGATGCTGAGTGAAGTGAGTAGAACCAGGAGAACATTGTACACAGTAATAACCACGTTGTGCAATGACTAATATTGATAAACTTAGCCCTTCTCAGCAATGCAAGGATCTAAGACATCTCCAAAGGCTTCATGATGGAAAATACTATCCACATGCAAAAAAAGAACTATAGAGTCTGAATGCAGATTGAAGCATACTATTTGCTATTTTTTTTCTTCTGTTTTATTTTGTTTCCTCTTTCTGGTGGTTCCTCCTATTGGCTCTAATTCTTACTTACAACATCACTAATGTGAAAATATGTTTAACAGGAATGTATATGTATAGCCTATATCAGATTGTGCACCTTCTTGGGGAGGGTGGTAGGGAGGAAGGGGGAGAAAAATTTTAAACTCAAAAGCATATGGAAATGATTGTTGATAAATCAAAATAAATTAATTTCAAAAAAGATAATTAGAGGAATTAATTTTAGATTCTAGAAGCAATAGGGCATCAACAGAATGATTGAGATGGGAAGACTAATTAGGAAGCTATTGCAATAGGCCAGAGGAGAGGTGATAGGGACCTGAACTATGGTAGTAGCTGTGTGAGTGTAGTGGAGACATATGCCAGGGATATTGGGGAGGTAGAAACAAGAAGATTTGGCAACTGATTGCATATACAGAGCAAGGAGTCAAGGATGACACCAAGGTTGGGAAGTTGAGGAAATAGAAGGACAGTGGCCCTTTGACAGAAAGAGGAAAGTTTGGAAGGGGGCTGGGTTTGGGCAGAAAAGATGAGTTCAGTTTTAGACATATTAAGTTTGAGATGCATATAGGACATTCAGTTTAAAATGTCTAATAGGAAGGTAGTTGCTAATATACTACTGGAACTCAGATGACAGACTAGGGCTAGATATATAGATTTGGAAATAATCTGCATAGATATGATCACTAAACTCATGGGAGCGTCTCATCAAGTGAGATGTTATAAAGGGATGACAGAGGAGGGCTCAGGGCAGATTCTTGGGTACCCCTATGGTTAGGTGGTATGATGCAGATGATGAAACCATTAAAGAGACTGAAAAGCAAGAGAGAGACAGGGTAGGGGAAACCCAGGAGAGGACAATGTTAGGAAGAGAGACAGAGACAAATGGAGACAGAGAGACAAAGAATCCAGGAGATAGTAGTCATTAGTGTCAAGTGCTGCAATGAGATTCAGGAGGATGAGCATAGAAGGTCTCTGAGGACGTTGCACAAATCTGAAGGAGGGGAAGGAGACTGAGGTCAGCTCACAAGAAGACTCAGCTCTTCCTTTAGGACCCAGAATCCCAGAGAAATTCCTCCTCACCTCCTTCCCCTCCCATTCTTCTTCCAAGACTGAAGGGGTACTCAATTCACTAGTGACAATTTTGGATTCATTGTCTAAGCCCCATTCCAAACCCCTGCTTCCCCATCTGAGACCCTTTACAAAAGTAAAGCTGAGCAGGGGCTGAATGCCTCCCCATAGAGAGTCAGAAAGAGTCAGAGCTCAACCAAAAGCTGCCTTCTTTTAAGGGTCCACCAGGAGGCAGAGCAAACAGAGGCCAGCCCCATCCCTTCAGAACCCCCACAACTCCTTGAAGGGGAAGTCTAGCTGTCACTGGTCACAACCCCTTCTGTCTCCTTTCCAGGCCTAGATGGAGCTGAGCTTTGTAACCTGTCATCCTTAACCCTGGAAATTCTCCCAGAAGAGAAAGAAGGAAGGAGAGAGAGGAAAAGGAAAGATAGAAGGAAGGAAGGAAGGAAGGAAGGAAGGAAGGAAGGAAGGAAGGAAAGAAGGAAGGAAGAAGGAAGGAAGGGAGGGAGGGAGGGAGGGAGAGAAGGAGGGAAGGAAGAAGGAAGTAATGAAAGAGGGAATAAGGGAGGGAGGGAGGGAGGAAAGAGGGAAAGAAGGAAGCAAAGAAGGAAGGAAAGGAGGGAGGGAGGAAGAAAGAAGGGAAGAAGAAAGGGAGGAAGGGAAGAAGGAAGGGACAGAGGGATGAAGGGAGAGAAGGAAAGAGAGGAAGGAGGAAGGAAAGAAGGAAGGGAGGGAGGGAGAGAGTGAGGAAGAAAGGAGGGAAGAAGGGAGGAAAGAAGGGGGGACAGAGGGATGAAGGGAGAGAAAGAAGGACAGAAGGGAGGGAAGGAGAGAGGGAGTGAAGGAAGAAGGAAGTAATGAAAGAGGGAATAAGGGAGGGAGGAAGGAAGGAAAGAAGGAAGAGAGGGAGGGAGGGAGGAAGAAAGGAGGGAAGAAGAGAGGGGGAAGGAAAGAAGGAAGGGACAGAGGGATAAAGGGAGAGAAGGAAGGAGGGGAAGGAGGAAGGAAGGAAGGAAAGGAGGAAGGGAGGGAGGGAGTGAGGAAGAAAAGAGGGAAGAAGGGAGGGACAGAGGGATGAAGGGAGAGAAGGAAGGAAGGAAGGAAAAAGGGAGGGAGGGAGGAAAGGAGAGAAAGGAGAAGAGATGGAGGGAGAGAAGAAGGGGGGGAGGAAGGGAGGAAAGGACTTCTTTTCCAGGCTATCCTGGGAGCAGACTGTTGTCGGTCCCTGTTCCACCCTGTCTCTCTGCTCCTCCCTCAGCCTCCCAGCCCTGGAAGCCTGGCCAGCTGCATTCCAGCCCTGGGCCATCACCATAACAACCTGACAGAGTAGCCAGGACAGGCCAGGGAAAAGGAGCCAGGACAAATCTAAGGCCAGAGCACCAGACCAGGGAAAGGGGTAGGGACAGGGAACTAGGACAAAGACAGGGCCAGGATAGGGACTAGGACAGTACCAAGACCCAGACAGAGCTGAGAGAGGGACAAGAAGTCAGAGTCAGAACCAGAGAACCAGGCCAGTGAAAGAGGCAGACCAGTTCTGGGAATAAGCCAAGTCAGGAAGCCAGGACAGGCTACAGACAGGTTCTCTCTTTGTCCTTCAGTATTTCCCTAGGCTCTGAAGAGTCCGTGGTGCCTAAGAAGGGCAGCAATGGTAGGAGTTAGGGTGTCAGGTAACTCTTCAGAGAAGGAGTCAATACCTGCAGCCACTGCCTATCACTACCCCCTCCCCTGCCCCCCCCCCCTCAAATCTTGTCTCCAAAGACAGGAGTCATAGATGAAAGGAAGAAGGATCTGGGCATCAGGGAAAGGTATATAGGGGGTTGTGCTTACCACTGTTGTGGGGATATTCTAGGTTGCCTGTAATAATAATATTGAAGGTTTGCAAAGCCTTTTACATCTTATCTTATTTAATCAACATGACAAGGTAGGTATTATCCCCATTTTTCAGATAAGGAAACAGGCTTAGAGAGGCTAAGTGGCATGCCCATGGTCACACAGATAGTAATATCTGAGGTAGGACTTGAACTCAGATCAACTAACTGCCTATTGGATATTTCAAAATGAATGTCCTATATGCATCTCAGATTCAATGTGTCCAAGATTGAACTCATCTTTTTTGCCCAAACTTACCCCCACTTCCTGTCAAAGGGGACCACCATCCTTCCATTCCCTCAATTTCCCAACCTTGGTGTTATTTGTAGTTCTTCATTTTACCTATCCAATCAGTTACCAAATTTTCTCCTTTCTACCTCCTAAATATCTCTGGCGATATATCTTCTCTCCACTCACGCAGCTAGCATTCTAGTCTTCCTGATTCTAAGTTTAGCTCCAGTAGCCTCAGTGGAGCAATGAATGATTCCTCTCCTTTCTGTGTCTGCAGCTATGGAAGGAGACAACTTGTAGGATCACCTAATCTCAAAGTTGGAAGGATCCTTCTAAAATGACATCCAGATTAACTCCTTCTTAAAGAGTTAAAGGGAAACTGAGGTACAGAGAAGGGAAGTAATTTGCTAAAGATCACACAGGTAATACATGAGAGAGCCAGGATTTGGTACTCTTTTCATCACAACATCTAAGCTGTTTCTAGACAGCAGCGGACTCTGGGGAGGAAATTCAGAGGGAAGGAGAAATGCATCACGGACTTTTTCAGGTAGTAGGTGAGGCATCAGGGCCCTGAGTTGTTGGATGTACTGAGCCTCTGGGCCCCTGAACCTCTTAGCCTCAAGCACCCCAGGGTGCCCTGATTTCTGAGTTTCCTGAGCACCAGTGAGTCCCTGAACCCTTAAAATACTGGTTCTTGAGTACTCTTGAGCCTTTAACCCCTGAACCCTGAACAACCATCTAAGCTCCTGTTTGCCCTCAACCATTGAGAAGTTATTCCTGCCCATCCCTCAGATTACTTTGCACTTATTTTTATATCTATAGGAAGTAAACTTTAAAAAGTGAAAGAAAGAAGGAAAAGAAGGAATAAAAGGAAGGAAGGAAGAAAGAAAGAAAAAGAAAGAAAGATGAAGAAAGGAAGATCTCTTTAAGGGCAGAGACCCTTTTATTTTTGTCTTTGTAATCCCAACACCTAACACAATGCCTAACACATAATAGGCATTTAATAAATGCTTGTGGATTGATTGATTGACCTTCTAAGCCCAGAAATCATTGATAACCTTGAGCCTCTGAGCCCTGAGCCCTTGGGTCCTCCTAAGCCCCCAGACCATAGCCAATGAATCCTTGACCGCCTGAAACTTACTTTGGGTACCATTTTTTATCCCCAACTCTTGGTCCCTAGGGTAATTCTAAGTCCCAAAGTCCTTGAGTCTTTGCTCCTTGAGCCCCAAGTACCTGAACCCTCAGCCCTGAAGCTTTTTCTGTGTCCTGGATTCTAGGTCTTGGAAAGCCCATCTGAGGAAGAGATCTTCCCTCCCACAGGCCCTAGGAGGGACAGGGGCGGGGTGGAAAGGAGAGAGGACAGCTGAGGTGAAAGTATCCATCCGTCTGACTGGGTGTCTGTCAGTCTCAGCCCCTCCCTGACGGCTGCTCCACTCTTCCCAACAGAAACTTGAGTCACAGACACTGTCCAGGCTTCCACCCTCGCGACCTCAGCCCCGCCCGTTGGGCCCAGAATCTGGCACTTGGGAGGGAGGAGAGGGAGGGGACGGAGGAGGGATCTTGGGGGAGAAAACCGTGTATTTCTGTCCACATGTGTGTGTTCTCGGAATCTAGGGTCCTCCTCAGTCTCTGCCTTACAGTCTTAATCTTTCTTTGATTCTCGGTGATTCTGTCTGTATATTATTCATATTATTATTAATAAAACTAATGATGCTAGTAACTCATCTTTATATGGGGATTTAAGGCTTAGCATGGATCTCTATCCTGCTCTCCTTCTTCTTGACTCCCACACCCCCACTCACAAGTCTGCTCATTTTCTCGGGTTCAGGTTTGGGAGAACAGCAGAGGGAAGCTTGTTCCTTTACGGAGACCTCAGATCAGCCAGAAACTTCAGACTTCGTCCAGTTCACTCCTCCTCCTCCCTCTTAGAACTAGGACTCTAGGGGTGCCTACCGCGCACTTCCTCTTTGTCCCAAACCTGCAGTTCAGTCCCGATCCCGGATCCCCAGGCTCACAAGGGCCAGCTCTTTGAGGCTGGGTGTGCCGGCAGATGCCAGCGCGCTGACACAAAGCACCCCCCCTCCCTCGGGGCGGGTGTCGACGTCACTGGGAGGGACGGTGATTGGTGGGGAGCGTCCCCCTTAGAGACACCTGCCTCACCGCTGTTGTTCCCAGGGACCCAGGAGTCCCGACTTGAGTTGGGTGTCTATGGTGACTAAGGAGGGTGGATAGGGAGAAAGGGAAGAACCTTGTTAGAAGGGATCCCAATAGTTGGGACTGACCCTCCCTTTCCTCCTTCACTACCCCTGTCCTCCTTGCTGTTCCCTTCACCTCACTGTAGTTCTGCACCCTGGGGTTTCCCCGCTCGGTAATGACCTGTTCTGTAGTCATCCAGACACCCTTCCCTCAGCAGGAGATACACTTTAATCATCTGAGGTGCCAAATGAGGACATACCTCTCCTTCCTCATCCACCACCCCCTGCCACCTAATAGGGAACGAAAGGCTGGAGGGAAGCATTGGTTGGTCTCTCCTCTGAGGTGGTAGATTAGAGGTTCAGAAAGAGGCATAAGTTTTCAGATGAGGCCAATATGTTCAATTATTTTGTTTGACTTTTTCTTTTCTTTCTTTCTTTTTTTTTTAACAAAGGTTAGAGGGAGTAAGTAGTGTCAATAGGAAATATTAATAATGTTTAAAACAATAGAAAGGCATAAAAACATTTTGTTAGGTTAAAAATAAATACATTGCAATTAAAAATTAATTTAAAAACGTTCAGATGAAAGGGAGGACAAAGGGCAGAGTCGTGGCTCATATATTTAGAGCTGGAAGGAACTCCAAAGGTCATTTGGAATCAAAGAATGAATCTGAGCTGTCAGTTGATAGCCCAGTACTTGGGCAAGTCACTTAACCTCTGTGTTAGTTTCATTATCTATAAAATCAGGCTAGTAAGAATTACACTACTTATCTTACAGGGTTGTTGTGAGAGTCAAATGAAATCATTCATGTAAATTTTGTAAACAGGAAACATAAAGGGCTGTATAAAAATTAGCTATTCTCTTTCAATAACAAACATTGATCATGGGCCTACTGTGTCCTGGGCCCTGGGGATACCACACAGGTAGATGCCACAGAGCCCCTGCCCTCAAGAAGCTTATTTTCTAAAGGCACTTTGAGGCGGGATTGAGGAGAAAAACCATGACCTCACTAGCATTGAGGAATCTGAGTCTCCTCAAGTCCCCACTGAGCTCTAAGTAACAGATTAGCTTTTCAGAACCACCTGAAGAGTCTGGAGCAGCAATCCTAACTCAACCATTGGGAGGTTGGTCTGGCATCAAGGTACAGAAAAACACTGGATTGAACTCCTGGTGCAGCCACTTACTATCTCAGAAGAAATGCAAGATGAGAAAATTTAGAGAATCCACCCCAAATGTTCATATGGACTATTTGTGCCTGACCTGTGGTAGAACATTCGGAATTCATATTGGTCTGATCAGCCACAGTCAGACACACTGAAACTTGATTCTTGTATAGTGATGTCATTTTGGTCCTCTTTGAGAATGAAGAACGATAACCAATCTGTGTGACCCTGGCTAAATCATTTATCTCTCTGGTCTCAGTTTGTCCCTCTAAATCTGAGAATTTGGGGCCCCTTTTCCTGCTTAAAATTCTATAATCTTGCCATGGCCTTCCCCTTTCCCCATTTCTTGACTCTCCTCCTCTCTGCATACCAGATGACTGGGCTTCTGTTCTGTCTTTGTGTTTCTATCTTGCTCATTCTCTCAGGGTGGTCCTCACTCCCAAAACGTCTGCCCTTCTACTTCTCTGCTCCCCGGAAGCCTCTGCCCATCTCATTGTATCTATCTATGTATTTTATCTAACAATCTATGGATTTTTGATACTCATGCCCCTGTGTTAGGGGAGGAGGCAAAGGGATCTGGCACTGGGGAGGTTAGGAGAGGGAAAATAGCCTCCCTCTCTTGTGTCAGGTTTTGCCCACTCCCCCTTCTCACCCAGGAAATCACATGGTTAGAGGAAGTCATGGTTCACTCATCCCTGCTTCCCTTAGGGTTGGGAGTCAGGGCAGCAGATCTGCCAGAATTCTAAAGGGAAGGGACTTATGAGCACAGAGCCAGAGGTTCTGTTGCCCATCCCTTCACTCTGTGACTCAGCGTCCCTACCAGACCTGGTACAGCTTCTTGGTGCAGAGAGATATCCCCACAAAGGCACTCTCCCAGATCCTGAGAGAACAGTCCCTTTTCTTTTCTTGGCAGAATCAGAAATCAGACTCAATTTAAACAAAATTTTGTAGGCAACAGGGATTTGAATGGAAAGGAGATTAACTCAAAGGCCTCCTTGACTAGTTCTCCTAGATGTTACCTTGACACTTATGCCCAGTCTCTCATACTTCCTTGAGTCACTTTCTTCACCATCCCAATAAACTGGCCCATCATTCACAAAGCTCCTAAATCTCATCACCTATTACTGGGAGCCTTTCCAGATGAATCATTTTGATTCCATTCCTCCAAATCTTTGCTTAGCTCCTGTAGTCTACTACATTCAAAGCCCTGGAGAGTTAGCAATTTTTTGTTGATTTGTCTTGACATAGAAGTGCCTGGCCTTCTCTCTGATAGAGCATCCTCAGTAATTCCCTCATCTTAATCCCCATGCCATCCCTTAAAATATTCTTTCTAGAGCCCTAGAACATTGGAGCTGGAAAAAAACTTTGAGACATCATCTCTTCCACCCCAACCAATAAACAGTGAGGAACAATGGACTGCCAAAGGCAGCACTATCTGTTAAAATGAGTTTCAGTACTATTAAAGATGGCCCTGGTTCAACTTGCAAGTTGTCTCTACTGGATTTCTACTTTTGTTACCTGATTCATGAACAAATTGATTCCTATTAAAATATTAATATAAAAGTGCAAAGATTAACTTTAAAAATACGCAGATGGAAGAACAGAGACTGGAGCAGCTAGATGGCACAGTGGATAGAGCACCAGCCCTAGCACAAGGCTCAGGAGGACCTGAGTTCAAATCCAGCTTCAGAAACTTATTAGCTGTGTGACCCTGGGCAAGTCACTTCACCCTTACTGCCTCCAAAAAAAGAAAAGAAAAGAAAAACAGACCCAGAGAGGGGAAGGAACTTGCCCAAGGTCACATAGCAAGTTAGTGGCAGAGGTAGCATTACAACTGGGGTCTCCTGACTTATAGGCCAGGGTTCTTTACGTTAGACAACACTGACTCTCTTGGTCTTGGTTTAACGTATCTTTTCTTCTCTCTAGAGATCCTGTACATCGATAGTTGCCTCAAACTGTGACTTTTCCAAGGGTGGAGACCAGGTCTGGCACAGCACAATTAAATACTTGATTAAGAGGCTTTTGAATCCTTTTTAAATAAAACAGTGTGTTGATCATGGCACACCCATCACTTGATGCTCCAAACCATTCAATGGTTCCCCCCTACCTATAGGATAAAATCCCAAGATGTTTAACCTGGCATTCAAAGCCCTTCAAATTCTGACCCCAACACACCTTTCCAACCACTATTTCTCATGCTAATTCCTATGGGATTACTAAAATTCCCCAAATGGTCCCCTCCTCCCATCCTGGCCTTTCCCATCTCTGTACCTTTGTTTATGTTCTGACAGGGATGCTGCTCCCTTTCTGCCGAAAAATATTTCTTTCCCCAATCTCTAACTGTAGAAATGTTACCTAAATAATGTTGTTGTAAATAATGAGACATTGTGGGAAAGGGCCCTGGGTTCTGGTAACAGCTCTAACTCTTACTACTCACATTAATAGTCAATTAAATCCGATAATCATTCATTAAGTGCCTACTATGTTCTAGGCCCTGAGCCAGGTGCTAGGGCTAAAAACACAAAAAAGGAATCAGTTTTTGCTCTTGAGGAGCTTCTACTAAATGGAATGGGGATGGTATATAATGCAGCATGAAGACTGGTAAGTAAATACAAAGTAATTTCAGCAGGGAGAGAAAAGTGAGAACTGAGGGACCAGAAAGTTCATGTGCCATGAGCTGAGCCTTGATGGAAGAGAGGGACTGATTTAGAGTTGAAGGTGAATAAAGGGTGTATTGCAGGCATTACCAACAGTCTGTTCAAAGATACCTTTCTTTCTTTCTTTGGAGGCAATCTGGGTTAAGCAACTTACCCAGGGTCACACAGCTAGTAAGTGTGTGAGGACAGATTTGAACTCAGGTCCTTTGGACTCCGAGGCCACTTTATCCACTGAACCACCTAGCAGCCCCAGCAAAGACATCTTGAGACAATTCCTTGAGTCCATGAATGAATGAATGAATGAAAAAAATTAATGTGAAGTGTGAAGTGAATGAAAAAAAAATTTATCAAGTGCTTACAACTTGCAAAGCACTATGTTAGGGAGAAGCTAGTAGGTCAGTTTATCAGAAACATAGTATATGAATGGAAATATCATCTCAAATGCAGGAAGTGTTACCTGTTTTCCCTCAGCAGCTAGTGCCTCTACTGAAATTACATTGTACTTATTTTGTTGTTGTTTTTAATCTACTTACATGTACTCAATAGAATGTAAATTCCTTGAAGGCAGGAGCTATTTCATTCTTCTAGCCCTAGCACCTAGCACAATGCCAGTCATTTCTTGGTAAGTGATTAATAAATGCTTGTTGATTTGATGCTTAATTGTTTCCTCCTTTGTAAAACAGAGTAATAATACTTTCCCTCCAAATGGCACAGGGTTGCTGTAAGGCATTCACTTTGTAAACTATAAAGGGCTAAGGAAATGTAATCCATTTTTATTGTAGTCCTTTAAGGCCTAGCTCAGATGCTATCTCCTTTGGGAAGCCTTCCCTGACCACTCTGGCCAATGGTACAGTCAATGAAGGCTGTGGGTGTACTGTGGGGGAGGGGGAGGTAGTTATATTTTTCTCCATGTGTTTGATTTCCTTTCCGCTAGATTGTAAGGTTCATGAATTCCAGGACCAGGTTTTGTGTAGATCTTTGTTTGCTCAGCTCTTGGCATAACTATACTTAGGAGATACTCTGTGAAACAAGGAACAGT